GCCTCGAACCTCTCACCACCAACCTTGATCACTCTGCCATCGGGTAACTATAAGAAATGTACTATTTACTACCAATCTACCAAAATAAATCACATTTACGACATTCTTGAAAATAATACCAATTAAATGCAAATCTACAAAATGAGTCAAATTGTTTAGGCTATAGGTAGAAAAAGTAAAAGAATTAATTGTGTATTTAACTATAATTTTACACTATATAATAAAGCGTAAACACACTAAAAAGACCTTCAAGTGGGAAAGGGACCTTAATACAAGCTGCCAGCATTAAGGAAGCAAGGTTATAGTAACGGTCATTTTGACCTAAATCCGTCAAAATGGCGAAGCGATAACTGCCCATAGACATCCGCAATTGCAGATGCGTTGCCTACCCTTATCCGACAGAGGAGGAGACGCACATAAAGATGATATCTCCCCTTCCTATGTATCTCCTCCTCCGTCAAATCCGCTTCCTCTTCCCATCCTCACCTTATAAGAGAAGGGTGAAAGAGGGCACTACCACTGTTAAAATAAGTATGACAGTAAGATAGTATAGTTTTAAGTTACTTACCACATAAGGTTCAACAAGCACAGTGGTCTCCCAAGCCAGTCGTTGCTCCTGTTCTATATTATATCCGATATAGCAAAGTTTCTCCTTCATCATACGAACAGTCTCGAAATCCGCTGAATGGTTAAACGCGTAACCGCGCAGTAATAATAACTGTTGACAAATAACATTGTTACAGACATTGGCTCAGTGGCTTAAGCAAGTAACTTGTCTACAGGTCTTGGGTTCGAATCCCGCTGTACCAATGATATTATCGATTTTTCGAATTTTTATATGTACATTTTACCCGACGTTCTTACGGTGAAGGAAAACATCGTGATGCAACCTGCACATATCGGAGAAGAAATTCAAAGATATGTGTGAAGTCAACCAACCCGCACAAGGTCAGCGTGGTTGACTATGGCCTAATCACCTCTAACTTAGGGTATGCTCCGAGCCCCTCGGTGGGGACGTATAGTGAGCTGGTGATGATGATGATTTAAATAAAATAGACGAGACAAGGAAAAAAAAATTTCACCGGTACTTTCTCTGAAAGGTACTATATCATGTCAAGTTTAGTGGCACTTTGTTGTAATTTTAGAGAATAAAACATTTTACTAAATTATTATAAGCTACTTCTTTTGTTATAAAATAAACTAAATGTTATTAAAATTTAATTTAATTTTGAAGATCTATCCATAGCTAGTTATTATGAGAAAAATATCTTAAGTAAAGTCTTAATTATGCCTCCTCTATTTATTTTATAACTCTTTGATTACAAATTATACTAATACTAGCTTTTGCTCGCGACTCCGTCTGCGCGGTAATAAAATCAAAAGAATGCCTATGTGTTCTGGAATCTAGATACATCTGTGACAATCTTTGAGATCCGTTTAGTATAGGCTACAAACTCTAACAAACATCCATCCATACATCCAAAATTCCGCTTTTATAATATAAGCTAGAATAATAAATGTAATTATAAACACTATACATAAATCATACTAATATTATAAATGCGAAAGTTTGGATGGATGTTTGTTACTATTTATCTCTGACGTAACAAATCTCGATGGTAATCACAAATGTAGAACATAATCTGGATGAACACATATACTATTAAGTTTTTTTAAATTCACACAGACAGAACCGTGGGCAAAAGCTAGTTCAATATACAGAGAATTCAAAACCACTATCTTTAGAAAGAGATAACACTTCACTTGTAGAGCGTTGTCTCTTTCGCACTCAGTAAACCAAATAGTGTGCGACAGAGACAACGCTCTACAAAACCGAAATCTTCATACTAAATTGATAATTTAGTTTTCTTACTTTAATCAGATATCTCGTGATATCTCGTCCGGCGATATCCAAACGCCTTGTCAGATGAGGTAAAGCGAATTCTTCATACACTGGGCATATGTGGGTTACACCATCACCTGAAACAAACATTTTATAGTAATACTAGCTGTTCCCGTGCAACTTCATCCGCATCAAATTATGAAAATTTTATTTCATTGTTTACATTTGTCAAATTATCAATAGCAAGTGTCAAAATGACATGACATCACAAACCTTGGCAATCTTGCTTCCTTGATGTTGGCAGCAACTTATGGTCTCTTTTCCAGATTAGGGTTTTTATCCAAATTATTTACCCCTTAAGTTTAAAGGCGTGAAAATATATAGCCTGACATAAGTGTAGAGCTTATTATTAAAAAAGGAATTATTCAAAAATATGTTGTATTTGCTGACATCTTAGGCAACAAAGAAGTGTGTGTTTACGCTTTATTATAAAAGTATAGATTATAAATGCATAAAATGGATGGATATTTGTTAGAGTTTGTAGCCTAAAAGATTAAACGGATCTCGATCTTTATCGTAAATGTAGAGGATAGTTTGGAAGAACAAATAGGCTATTTAATTTTTTTTAATCTTCACGGACGGAGTCGCATGCGAAAGTTAGTATAAGATGGCAAACGAGCAAGTCATGTGGATGTAATTTATCACCAGCTCACGATACGATACCAAGGGGCTCGGAGCCTACCCTAAGTTAGGGTTTAGGGGAGGTAATTACCCTATTGATCGGGTAAAATACAAACTTACCAGAATCAACCACCACTCCGGAGATAAGTCCTTGTGCGTACAATGTGAGTACTGCTTGGATAGCAATATACGCACTGTCGAAACCGTACTTCTCAAACATCACCTGACAAACAAGAATATACACAGTATAATATACAGCTAAAAGGAATATTGTACACATAAAAAAACATCATATCTTACTAATATTATAAATGCGAAAGTTTAGATGGATGTTTGTTAGAGTTTGTAGCCTAAACTGCTGAACGGATCTCCATGACACAGGTTTAACAGTCTGGAAGAACACATAAGCTACTTTTTATCCCGGGAATAGCTACGGTTCTCGTGGGATTCGTTAATTTAGTTTTTTAACCCTGAGAAATGTCCGGTTCCCGAGGGATACGTAGCTTTTTGTTATTTATATAGTTCGCATGTTTTCTAATACCACGCGAACGACAGCTAGTACTAAATAAATAAATATAATCCTTGCTTTCCTAAGTAAATATTATAATAATCAAAGAAAAACACTTCTGGAAAACACTAACAATCTAATTTGATTACATTTTTTAGATTGTAACTTGAATAACTTATCTGACTAATATTATAAATGTGAACATTTAGATGGATGGATGTTTGTTAGAGTTTGTAGCCGGCTGTTTGTAAACAGCTAAACGGATCTGGATGAAATTTGACACAAATGTAGAACATAGTCTGAAATAATACATAAGCTACTTACTTTTTTTTAAATACCACGCAGACAGAATCGCGGGCGCAAACTAGTTTATTGTACAATCTTATTAATATTATAAATGCAAAAATTTAGATAGATGGATAACTCGGACTACTGACTTTTGTTTTTAATTCCGCGCGGAGAGTCGCGGGAGAAAATATTATACCCTTGATGGTAAATTGTAAAAAAAAACTACTATTTAATAGAACAAACCTCGATCATCTTCTCCCTATTCTTAGTAGGGTTCATCGGAGGTTCTGTGAGCAGTATCTTGGTCTCCTTGGGGTCTATGTTCATCTTACTGGGACCGAACGTGTAGTCCCACACGTGACACATGTCCTCCCAGTTACGTACAACCTGTGAAAAAAAGTTTTAAAGTATATAGTTATATCTAGAATAGAAAGCCTATGGAGATATTTGGTGTAAAAAAATTATAGTTCAATTTTTTAATTAATAAAAGACCATTAATTGTGTTCGCAGCATATTATCTATGTTATGTAGGATGGCAGCATACTATCTATACTATTATAATAAAGCGTAAACACACACTTCTTTGTTGCCTAAGATCTCAGCAATTACAGCACATTTTTGAATAATCCTTTCTTTTATAAAAAGCCCTACACTTACGTCACGCTTTAGGCTATATATTTTCACGCCATTAAACTTAGGGGGTAAATTTTTTGGATAAAAACCCTTAAGTGGGAAAGAGACCACAAGTTGCTGCCAACATCAAGGAAGCGAGATTGCCAAGTTTTGTCATGTCATTTTGACATTTGCAATTGACAATTTGACACATGTAAACAATAAAATAGTTTTATGCTGACGAAATCGCACGGGAACAGCTAGTCGCTTCATGTTTTTAATTGATTTTTTAATAAAATTATAAGGCTATACTATTTTCATTTAGGGGGTGACTACGACAAAAATGCCTGAAATTCGTATGCGGATGAAGCCCCATGGGAACAGCTAGTTGATTCTATAAAAGGTATCCTTACCCCATTCTCCATTGGATAACTGACTTCGAGCATTGAACGTAACTGTGATGCTTCATCTCCGACCATTAAATCCTGAAATAAATTATCTATCAATAAGAATAATAAAATAAAATATTATATTAATAATTAGTAAATACAGCTGTAATAACACAAAATCATACTATATTAAGAGCCTGTCCCACCAAATTGTAAATTGTCTAATAGCAATTAAGTGATGTAGTTTTTAAGCTATCTGAGACTCTATCAGCCAGTAGTGGGACAGGCCCTAAAGCTATTAACAATTTAAATCAAAAAAATTAAAATAAAAACGTGTCTGAAGAAAACTACATTGCATTTAATTTCAAATTACTCAATAGTTATACTTTAAGCATAAAAGTAAATATAAAAAATATAAATTAATGCAATGAATTCTTCAAGTAGTAAATATATTACATGACATTAAATTATATTAAGCTATAAAACCTTTTTAGATTATCTCATGCCATATACAAGTATATGTCTATATAAATTATAACACGACTAAATTCACGTGACAAACTTCGCTGTAAGCTGCCCAGTTTCAGACCGGGGATCCTTCTTCGGTCACTCAACTCAATCTGAAGGACCCCCGATGAGTCTCAAACTGGTCGGTCTCTACACCGAAAGTTCTCTTCAGTTTAGCCGTGTTATAATTTATAAAGTATGTCTAACGAAAGTTTTATTAAGTTAATTATATCTAATGTCCGTTGAAAAAAGTTACATGTCTCAAATCTAGATATAACTCTTTACGTCGGATTTTCTATGTTATATGTTTCCTAACTATGTTTCAGGTATGCAGAATAAGTTGCTCAAGCGTTTGCCAGTATTGAAGCACTCGCTTTTACCTGCACAATCTCAGGACACAACGTCTGGGGTGCATGAAATATGATTATCATATTATAAGTTTCCATCGACTCTTGGAATATTTTCTCTATTGAGCGTTGAAAATGTAGTTAGTCTATACATTTATCAGCATATCTGAATTCCTTCCCTTATGCATGTCCATACACAATCCATACATACATTATTGTCTTTCTCTACTGTAACCATACAATCTCCTTACTTTCCTTTAAAATCTATAAATATTACTAAAATCTGTTGTTTAAGACTCTTGTATATTTACATATTAAAAATACACTTGTCTGAATAATTTAAAAAAAATAGACTATACAGCTGTTGCTCGCGACTTTGGAGTGAAATTAAAAAATGTAGCCTATGTTATTCACAGATAAATTACCTTTCTAACGGTGAAAGAATGATTAAAATCGGCGTAGTAGTTTTTGAGTTATCCCAATACATACAAAAACACAAAATTTTCCTCTTTATAATATTAGTATAGATAAAATCATTGAAAATTATTTAACACAAATACAGGAAAATAACATTTAAGTTCAACAAAACAATAAAGGCATTGTTAAATGTTGACAATTGTCATGTCAGTTTATAGTTTGTCTAAATAAGATTGATTACTTTGATAAATAAAGCATTTGAAGTACCTAAATAAATTTGTATGAAGGCAAATGCCATACTTAATAGACGGGTATGGTAGGAACAAGCACACATACAAGAACTATGAACTATCAATATTTGGTTTAAATAATTTTTTTTGAATTTAACTATTATAAAATTTTCAGTAATTTAATTAAGGTTGACAATTCTAGCAATTCATATAGTGTAGATAATATAACGATGACAATAATAACTCAAGGAGCTCTCGCTAGACAGTTGGATTAACGGCCTGATACAAAAGGCGGTTATTTCGGGAACTGTATGAATAGTGAGGAGGTTCCTGTCTCTGCAGCCCTGACCACTGGTTGCTTGAGTCATTGGATTCTGCAGCCAGTATACTTCTATTTTTTACATAATGTGTTTTATTTTATTTTATAAATAATCATGTTATTGTATATAAAAATAAGAAATTAAAGATATGAGAATAACAATAATAATAATAGTGAAATCCAATTCGATTGTGTACAACTGTAGTAGTAATAAATATTTGTTAACTCTCATTATTTATTTAAGTTCTGTAAGTCATTACTGATTTGAGAAAATTGCTTTTTTATTCGAATCCATAAATTATAACTATGAATCTATTGATTTCAACTTCTATCACAGTAGAAATCCACAATACACAGCCCATCCTTACTAAATTGTCAACTAACCCTTACTTAGACAAACTATAATAAAACCAACTTTTGTTATTGTATATAACATTCTTAACACACATGCTTATACCACTTACTCCAATAGTTATTCCCTGATAAACATATGACATATTAGAAAGAATAAATGGTAAAAAATTACACATATCACTTGTTAAAGAAAATATCCACACTTTTGCTATTACCACTTATCGTTTGTATTCACTATTAGTCAGTTTCTATTTAGTCCAACATTCACAATAAAACTATAACATAAAGGTCTTCCCACACTAAGATATCTGATGTAGATTATGTGTAGCGACCCTAACATTGCTTATAAACATACACTAACAAATAATAGTCAAGCTTTGGCTTGGGACTAACTAAAGTAAATGACCAAGAGAAGGGGAGATATTATAATAATATCTATATGGAAATTAATAATAATTCCAAGTTCTTCAAATATCATTCTGATGACTCATTGTAAATAAAATCATGTATTGATCTTATAAACAATAAACCTTTGATTGCATTTATAAGTTTATAGTCTACTAAGGGAGCCCCTTAGTAAACATGTGTATAGGTAATTTAGGGAAAGAAATAATCTTTTCTATTACACAAATTTCAATCATTTAAAATACAGGGATTAGGACATTATATGCTTTGGCATAAAAGTCACGAATTTGTTAACTGTTACAGTAAGTTTATTATTGCAACAAGTTGATATTGTTAGAATTCAACATTATTTTGCGTTAAAACTTGTACAAATATAACCGTTCAATTGTTGTTCTAATTTATCTGATACACTTAGTGAAAACGCAACGATATGTATTCAATTTCCGGTATAAACAATTTTTTCTTACCTTAACATCAATTTCTCCGATTTTGTTTTCCGCCCGAATGATTGGCCGGCCGACCATTGAGGGGAAAATAAAGGCAGGGAAATTGCTGCCAGCATATCCGCACTTTACAAACTGGAAAAAAGTTTATGTTAAATGATGAATCAGTCGCTTATCTGACGAGGTTCACCTCAACATTTTACACTGAACTTACCCCAGTACCGTTGTCGCAAACGATAACTTTCCTTCCTTGATCATCCATAATTGATTTTTAACTTATTATTACAATTAAAAAGTATAGAAATAATATATTCTTAATTAAATCTCAACACAAAATCAATGGTGCAAAATTGAGTTTACAAGTGACAGTTGGTTAAGAAGTACGCTATGTCAAATTGAAGTTTTTGATAAGTAATAGCGGTCGTATTGCGAAAGAAATAAAGCATAATTTGAATTGAGTTCAAAATGTTGACATGACACACCTACATAAAAGTTTTATTACGTTATCGCCACTTGTGAAAAGTATACAACATACTGCCACGTTTAATTTCAAATAAAACTTATTCTGTCGTTAATTTGAAAGATTTAAGATGTTTTCCGAGCGGATTAAGCACGAACATAAAACCTATTATTAATCGAGAGTTTCTAATTTTACTAAAGATACCATATTTTTTCGAATAAGACTGAATAATCAGAATGTGTGACAAGAAACGTCAATGTCAAAGTCAAAAATCGTGCTTTTCACGTGTTTGTATTTTGGAAATGTAATCGTAGTTTTAATTTTAAAATATTACAATGAAGCATAAGAGATTTGAAGAGAATATTTTGGTCGATGAAGCTTACACCAATTACGGTAAAGTCGATAAAAATGAGGATCAAAAGAAAGGCGTGGGTATCGCCAAACATTTTGCAGAAAGTTTGGAGTATGGCGAGAGAAAGAAATGGTTTCACCAGGTAATTTTATCATTTGTCGAAAACTATCGAATAAATGTATAAAAACACCTAACTGGTTGTTTATTTTTTAGATACCAGAAGAGCCAACAGCAAGTAAAACTTTGAGTCAGGATCAAATTGAAGAGCTTAGAAAGGAAGCAAGCAGTGCCTTACACGGCGATACGTTAGCTTATGAAACAAGTAAGTTATTTAAATATCTTTATGCCATTAAATATTATTAAAAAATCACTACACACTTAGTTTACTTATGCTGTCATGCAGTTTATATGTAATACATATTTATTCTTTCCAGAATCAAACAGAAGTGGTTCCTCAGATCAACAATGGGCTCGGACCCTGTTAAATAAAGGTGCTATTGGTGATAGGGTTGCTGCTGCAACTATCCTAATACAGGTAAATTATACAAGTTTTATGTTATTGGGAAACAATATATTTTACTAATGTGACAAATCAATGTATATTTTTTCAGGACAATCCTATTTACAATTTGACAGCATTGAGAAATTTAGTCAACAATGTAAAACCAGCTAAAAAGAAAGATGGAATTGTTATTATTGGTAAGAAATAATTTTATTGGCTATACTAAAATACTATAATTCACACTTTGTTATGTGAGATGTCAGCAATCACTGTATTGAATAAATCTTCTTTTAACAAAAAGCCCTACATATTCAACATGGTAAAGGCTATATATTTTTACACATATTGGAGATTATCCGGAAAAATCATGGCTCGCAGACAGACAGGCAAAAATATTTGTTATCAGCAATGCTAATACATAATCTTCCTGAAATCTGGAATTTTTCATTTGATACAAACAGGCAATCCAATTTTATTCTATGTATAGATTAACAAGTTCTAATGTTGGTTTTGTTATAATCTATTTAACTACATTCTTTTTTTCTCATTCCAGATGCATTATCAGAACTTTTCGTCTCAGAATTATTGCTACCAGATTTAAAGTTACGTAAATTTGAACAACATTCACTGGGACATGTTGACGAAATGGCATCAGGCAATAAACAAACTCGAAGGAATATACTAAAACTGTGGTATTTCGAAGACCAACTGAAAGAATTATATGGATGTAAGTGAAAATTCAAACTTTTGTACTGTCTGCTTTAGAATTTATGCAACAAGATAATGAAGACATATACCAGAAAGTGTTAAGATTGAATATGGATGGCTACAAAGGTAGAGGACACCAAAGAAAGTATGAAAGGATTATGTGAAAGAGGATATGCTTAAGAAAGGAGTTGATTTAGATATGACGGCTGACAGAGATGTATGGAAGAGCACATACTGTGCCGACCCTTCGTAAGCGATAAGGGCAAGTGGATGATGATACCAATGTAGAATCTCTTACAAAAAGTCAATCTATAAAACATTAAAAACAGTTAAAAATCATTGTATTTAAGTAAATTACTAAGTTGGAAGTTTGAAAATGTCTAATCGTCTTACTTCATTCTAATATTGTAAATGAAATTGTTTGAATGGATGGATGTTTTTTACTATATATCTCCAAGACTATAACAGACCTTAAAGAAATTTGTCACAGATGTAAAGTGTATTCTGGATGGACAC